GTTTTTGTCCGATGGATGTGTGTGATATCACTTGATATCCCTAAGGAATTGCTCTATGAATGGGCATCTTTGAGCATCCCATCTTCTTGACCACGCAGAGGGGCTCCTTTGTATTTCGAAAGCCCCGGAGAGCAGTGTGCAGAACTCTTACTCAGTGTGCTCATGTCACCCCACAAACACTGCCACAGAGTCTTAACGTCGCAACAGTGCCAAAGGCCAGTCAATGAGCTAAGTGCTCATGAGCCGCCATGCTGGGCAATTTGTAGAGTTCGACCTGCTGCTGAAAATGCTCTCACTTAAGGTGACAGGTGTTCTCCAAGAAAAAGGTTTCAGTATGAAGACTGATAGAACAGGGGGGCTAGTCTAATGGCTGCATGTCAAGAGCTCAATCCAGGCTCATCTCTACCAGGGATAACAGAGAAAGACAGAAGATCCCATTCGTATTGCACATCTGATCCGTCGCGTGGAGCGTTTTGTAAAATTTCACAAGATGATGATGCTGAAGATGCGTTCTCATAGACCAGATGTCCTCTTTTTCAAAAGGTTCTAGCAGTACTATGTGCCCTGGTTCGTTTAGAAAGAGGCGCATACAAGGGTGCTCAGGAGCCCTAACAGAACTCATCTCCAGTAGAGCTGATCCCTGTGCATGACTCCTACTGTGGTCTGTGGGACCAGTAGGGGGCGCTCACCCTGTGGTCTGTGTGGGTCCTAATGCCTCTGTGTAGTGATTGGGGGTAAAATAATAATATACCAGAGACAGACAGTGTGAGTGCCTAGCACTGTAGTTCCTGCGCACTGGGCCACAGTCTCCCCAGGGGCCTGTGGTAAGTGTGGTATATAAGATGAGTGTAAGTGTAAGTGTAAGTATAGAAGAAGATTTTTAGGGCTGTTTAAGGTTAAAATGTTTTATCTCTTGTGGTCCTCATCCTGTGCCACTCACTCTAGTGTCTATGTTTTCTTACCAGGGGAGGAGAAACTGATAAGTAAGTATTTCAATAAAGACATATGGAATGTTGTTTTTTTGTCAGTCTGTTGGAATTTCAGGCACGAGTCCCTGAAGTGTTTTTGAGGGTGAGTGAAGCTTCTTTTCTGGAAAAAAAGACCACACTGAGGTATTTTTGTTTACCTTCTTAGTGTATTTAAAGTAAGAAGAACGCTTCTGAACACAGTTACATATGCCACTGTGCATATTTAAAGCAGTATTTATCTGTCGTTATACAGCGGTCTTTATTTTCTAAGTAACCTCTTGTAATTATGGCCCCAGACTAGCTCTGTTGGTAGAGCACGAGACCCATAATCTCAAGGTAGTGGGTTTGTGTCCCATGTCAGGTGCCAGGTCCTCCTTGTTGGAGGTTGGGCACAAGGCTACCACCCCTGTCCTGTAAAAAAACAATATAAACTACATGCCGGAAGGCATAACAGGCAACATCCATCCATCTTGTTATTAATTCTGTGCTGGTATTGGGCAGTTAGGTACAGTGTGTAAGGAAACCTGAGTGTCATTGGTCATCTCCTTTCTTGCAGGCCTTCCTGTCATCCAGAGAGAACTGGGTAAGTCCTCCCTCCTCCTGGAGGAAGATGTGT